CGGAACCACTTCAAGGCCGCGTTGTGCTGCTTATAATTGCCGTTCCAGTTCGCCCTGAAGTTCTCGAAGAATTCCAACTTGAAAATTGGCAGCGGCTCATTGCGCACAATTTGAAACAGCGCAACTGCGCCTTGTTCTTCGCGCCCTGGGGGAAGCAGGGGACCGCCTCCTTTGCCCGCCGCTGTTGCGGCCGCGGGCTCCGCGGCAGGAGAACCTGCCGAGGCACTCGAGCGGCCACCTTCCCATGCATTCCACCAGCCACCCTCGTCGTCCCACCAGCGGGCGCCCTCCATTCCCCAACCCTCGCATCCGTTGCCGCCCCATCCGCCGCCCTCCCATCCGCGACTGCGGTCACTTCCGTCGCCGCCATCCTGCGCTTTTCCTCTCCATCCGCCAAGAGAATCTCCGCCGCCCCAGCCGCCACTGCGGTCACCTCCGCCGCCGTATCCGCCACTGCGGCCGCCCCAACCCCCACTTGTTCCCCAACCGCCGCCGCTGCTCTTTGAAGAATCCGCAACTGCGGCCCGTGTTTCCTCTTCCGCTTTGTCATCCCACCCTGCACGCATCTCTGCCCCGACTGCAGGCCGCGGAGGCGGGCGCGAGCCCGCCCAACCGCCGTGAAACCTACCGTCGGCGCGGGCTTGAGCCGAACGTGCATGGAGGAGGAGGATGAGGAGGAGGAGGGTGAATGTGAGGAGGATGATGCGTTCCTGGGAGGTGTGCCTTCGCGTGCAACACAAGAGCCCTGAGAATTCCTGAGGCCCCTCCAACAGCCAAGGACGCGGATGACAAGAAAGTCGAGAAGATTGGGAACCGATTGAGGATTAAGAGGCGTGCGACGAAAGGGATGATGATGACGAAGAGGAAGATCAGTGAAGGGGAGGAGCGGACAGGAATTATGGAGGAGTGATAGCAGAGGAGGAAGAGGGGGAAGGGGGAGGAGGAGGAGGAGGAGGAGGAGGGAGAGGAAAAGGGGGAGGAGGAGGAGGAGGAAAAAGGGGAGGAGGAGGAGGAGGAGGAGGAGGAGGAGGAGGAAGAGGAGGAGGAGGAGGAGGAGGAGGAGGAGGAAGAGGAGGAGGACGACGACGACGAGGAGGAGGAGGAGGAGGAGAGGGAGAAGGAGAACGGGGACAGGAGGACAAGGACGGAGAAATATAACAAATGAGGGGGAGGAGGCGGAGGAGGAGGAGGACGAGGAGGAGAAGCAGGAAGAGGAGGAGGAGAGGGGGGAGGAAGAGTGCGCGTGAGACTGGGAGAACGAGGTAATTAATTAGAGAGGGAACGGGGGAGGAGGGAGGACAAGGAAGAGCATACAGCGACGAGAAGAGGAGAAGGAACAGACGAAGGCTCCTGCTGATCGCATTTCCGCATCGTTCAAAGCAGTGCCGGGGCACTGCTTTGAACGACTGGTGATGTTCAAAGCAGTTCCCCGGCACTGTGTTCCATCGTCGCCGTTATAAGGGCTATCGGATTATCCGCGCCCTTTCCCTGCGACCCCCCTGCTGCGTCGCCGGTCTGGCACAACGCCCGAGCAGCGCTTCTCGCTGCGATTTCACGGCGCGCCCCCGATCCAAGGATGGCCAATAATGTTGGATCTGTCAGATGTGAATTTTCGAACCGCTTGACAGATTGATCGAGGCTTGAGCGGTGCGGCGCTCCAAGATATTGCAACGAAGCGGCGCCCCCCCCCCCCCCGCCTGTGCATTCAAACCAATTGCTGTCCTGCATTGCGCCACTTGCCCATAATAAGAAAGACGCAGCGTAAACCAAGCAAGCGTTCATGTTGCCAATTCCCTTACGCCCGCCCTGAGTCCCTGCCCGCCGTTCCCTTTCACCTATCAGTTGTATCGCCAGTCGTCCCAAATCTTCTTGCTTGCGGGTGCCGTGGGACCCAAACTCGCGATTGAGTTGCGATAGTGCAAGCACGAAATTACATGTTGCATGCACGACCACAGATTTCAGTGACCTGTCGCAGCTATCTGTCGCAGCTGCAGTCGACTGCGTCACGACCGCCAATGGGCTTGACTGGGGTGAGATCACGGAAGTAGCCAACTGCCCGATCCCTGTAAGGAGGCGGTGCATCGGGCGTCCGCGCGGTGGGGGGGCGGGGGGGGCCCTTGGGGAGCGAATCGCGGGCGAACTGCGCTCCCAACTCGCTGCGCGCATTGCATGTGATGCAGAAGGCGCCCCGCTCGTGACGGCGGCGCGTCAGCGCCCTCCCCGGTGGTTCCTTGCGGCCCCTGCGCCTGTATTCTCAACGACGCCGCATCATGCTTGAAGAAAAGCTCTGTGTGGCGACGATGCACATTGCTTAAGTCAGACCTGCAAGCCAAACTAAACACTGCATGCGTACTCGAGCCACGGGTCCCCATTTAAGAACTCAGTGGCTGGAAAGCGACTGCACCTGCATGTAACCACCAAAGCTTCAACATGAGCACTCTTGCGCCCTCACAGTCCAGCCCCCCCCCCACGCCCCGCGGCCTCAGAGGGGGTCCCGAGAGCGGCGCGGGGGGGCTGGCCCCGGAGGTTGTGACCTCTCTCCGCTGGGTGTTTTCACATTCGGTTTCCGCCTCCCAGACGCCAGCCCCCGAAGAGACAGACGGCTATCGTCTTCCTCCTCCTCCCCCTCCTCCTGCTCCGCCTCCTCCTCCTCCTCCTCATCCTGCTCCCCCTCCTCCTCCTCCTTCTCCTCCTCTCCCTATGTATCCTCCTCCTCGTTTTCTTCTTTCTCCTACTCCCCCTCCTCATCATCACATCATCCTCGCCCTCCTCCTCTCCCTCCACAATTACACAATATGAAAATACTCTCCCACTTCCCCTGATGGCGTCCCTAAGATGACCGACCCCCCCCCCGCGTATTTTTTTTACACACAGGATTCCCGCGAAACGGGTTTTCGCCTGTTTTTTTTCAAAATGCTGCTCTCGCTGAGGCGCCGGCCTCATTTCTGCTCCCGAATCGTTCCGAATCGTGCTCCCGCTGCAGCGTGGGCCTCATTTTCGGATCGGTGTTTGGCCTCCGTCGTTCAGGATGGCGTTCTCGCCCCAGCGCGGGCCTCTTTCTCGCGCGCCCATCCGCCCGCCACCACCGCGCCGCACCACCACCACCACCACCACCACCACCACCACCACCACCACCACCAGCACCAGCACCACCACACAGCACCACCAGCACCAGCACCACCACCACCACCACCACCACCACCACCACCACCACCACCACCACCACCACCACCACCACGCACACACGCACGCACGCACGCACGCACGCACCACCACCCACTACGCACGCGCGCGCGGAGCCACAGGTCCGCTACGACACGCGTCCGCGGATAGAGAAAATCAGCGCCATGGTAAGGGATGGGAGGGAGGGGTAGGACGTCAGATATGACGCGAGCGCACCTAGCTTGCCTTCCCCTCCTCCCCCCCTCCCCTTCATCTCCCCCTCACCCTCCTCCGCCTCTTCCGCCGCCTCCTCCGCCTCCTCCTTCTCCTCCATCCCTCGTGCGTATAAGCAGCTCCTCCATGTCGCACTCCGAGACGGATCGGTAAGGCGGTCTGTGTGTTTGACCAATCCTGCAACTTGAATGTTGCACCATTATCACAGACGAAAAGCGGATTGTTTTTTAAATGTGGCTCTCGCCTCAGCGCCGCGCACATTCGTAATTGAAGTTTGAGGGCTTCGCGGATGGAGGGCGGGTCGTTTCCAAAATGTGGCTCTCGCTTCAGCGCCGCGCACATTCGTGTTAAACATGTGAAGCTGTTTCGCGGATTGGGGGCTGGTGGTTTTCAACATGTGGCTCTCGCCCTAGAACCGTGCACATTGCTCACCGATGGAGGGCGGGAAATGTTCAAAATGTAGCTGTCGCCTTAGCGCCGCGCACACTCGCTCATTCGTATTACAAGTTTGCAAGAACTTCACTGATGAAGGGCAGCTGGTTTTTTTAATGTGACCCTCGCCTAAGCCCCGCGCCGATTCGTTTTCACAGGTCTACAACAGTTTCAAAGATAGTTCTGGATTGCATCACAGAAGTGGTCTCGGAGCACGACTAAGGACTGTCAGGGCGCGACAATCATCTTGATTCGCGGCGCTGGCGTCCCGGAAGTGGTGCACTGGCACGATGCAGGATCGTAGGATCGTAACCATAAGACTGATTCGGGTCGGTAAACCCAGGGAACGGTCCTTCAGCACGAATGAGAATTTTCAAACGATTGTCGCCCAACGAGGCTATTACCGCAGTGACGACAAACCCTCGTAGGAGCCTACGAAGAGGCGTTAAGCAACATCGTTGATGGGTTTGGGGTTTACACTGGTCCTCCTCCTCCTCCTTCTCCCTCCACAGCCCACCCCATGTCCCGAGCCATGGCTGGCAGGGTGATCAGCTCGTCGTTGTCGCTGTCGTCGTGGTCGTCGTCGTGGTCGTCTGTCGTCCTTCTGGGTCGGCGGCACTGGCCGCAAGGCCTTGACAATCAGGGACGTCTGAAACCTGGCGGCTTTGGAGGATGCGTCGGGCGCCGCGGGCGTTCCAGAGCGCTCCAGAGCGGACTGAAAACGTTCTGGAACACTCTGGAACGGTTTGTCCCCGTCATGGCCTCGCCCGACGCCCTCCCTCCGTGTCTCTCCTCCTGCCCGCCTCCCTTTCTCAGGGCCCCGTAGACCCGGACACGCTAGACCCGGACACCCAAGATCCCTCGAAACCAATTTTTCCAAACGGCGGCACGACCACAATACTGCACTGCAGCATTTCCAGAAGAAACCCGGACACAGGCCCCAAAAGCCTGTAAGACCCCCACCTGAACACGCGCCCGAATCCTGCAGTGCAGCAAACAAAACGTGCACGGGCGCTGAAAAGCGTGACTTTGCAGGAAAGGATGTCGTTTCCTTGGTCTTCCGTGTCCTGGTTTATCCGTGTCCTGGTCTCTGGGGGCCTCTCTCCCTCCTCGCGAGAGAGCGGGCCGCTCGCGAGAGAGCGCCGGCCGCGCGGCGCACGAGCGCATCGCGCCTGGAGGCTGGCCTTGGCCTTCGCCAGCACGCGCCCGGCGCGCCGGCTGAGCACCTCCTGGGCGCGCCCGGCGGGGTCGGTTCTGCCGCCGCTGCCGGAGACCTCCTACGTAGATGGGGTCCGAGTCCGCGGGTCGGAGGATACCTCCGCATCGCCAACGCACGGGAGGGGCATCAGCGACGTGGGCGATGCGTCGGCGACGTCGGCGTGGAGAGAACATTAGGTGGCCACATGCGAACCCTACCCCTACCCCCCACGATTTCTGAGGGGGAGGGTGGGGTTCACTTCGATCGAGAGCTCCCGAGCAAAGTGAACGCCACCCTCCCCCTCAAAAATCGTTGGGGGTAGGGGTAGGGTTCGCATGTGGCCACCTGAACATCGAGCTCCCCGCCGAGCCGCACCTGCGAGACGGCGCGAGTTTCCGACCCCGTCTGCTCCGACCGCATAGGGCTGCGCAGAGAGGGCGAGGCCCGTCCCCCGACACCGGCCCAGAAGTGCAAGAGCGCGCTCACGGGAAGCTGGCGTCCTCACGCGCAGTGTCGGGTGGGGGGAAAGGGGGGGAATAGCAAAGGGGGGGTTGGAGAATCAGCTCACGTAGCTAATTTTCCCGGCGCCTCCCGGCGCTGGAGGCGGCTATGTATCGAGGAATGGGCCCCTCGGCGAGGCCGAAACCAGCTGCATGCAGCAAATTACGTAACCCCCCCTTTCCCAATCCCCCCCTTTCGTCTGGCCCGACAGTTGGCGGCTGGACGGTCGTGGGCGGCCTCGAGCGCGTGGCCATGGACATCGCCGGCGGGGGTCCAGGTTTTTCCGACCTCGTGGGCCAGCCCCGCCTGAGGGAGAACAACGCGGAACCAGGGCCAGGACAAAATTGGATCCGGAAAAAAATGGGCTCCTCCCCGCCGTCGTCACTCGGCCGCGCGCTGGCGGGGAAAGTGAGAGTATGGGCAAGCTTGGAAGGCTCCTCCTCCTTCTCCTCCTCCTCCTCTTCCTCCTCCTCCTCTTCCTTTTTGTTCCTCCTCGTCCTCCTCCTCCTCCTCCTCTTCCTTCTCCACCACCTCCTCCTACTCCTATCTCCTGCTCTTTCGCTCCTCGGTCCTCCTCCCCCACCTCCTCCTCCTTCTCGCAGGAGGCGCTGGGGGGCTTCGCAGAAGCTCCCGACCTTCCGAGAAGCCGTCTGTGTCTTCGGAGACGGCCGCCTGAGCCTTCTGAGGAAGCCCGTCCCGAGTGCCGCCCCCCTGGGCGTGCCAGCGCGTTAGTGGGCCCTTGATGGTATGTTCCTTCCTCAGAGAGGGACAACGACTGCATAAACATTCAGTTTTACCGGTCCGCGCGGATCTCTTGGATCGGCGTTAGACCCCCCACACTGGCGCGCGTAGCGATCCACGGGTGGCGTCGGAGGCGTCGCCAGGGGACCCCAGCGCAGATCCAAGAAATCCGCGCGGCCCTGCACAAGTGTATTGTTGTTCAGTTTTTTCTTCGGTCGTGGGCCCATGATGGTGTATGAACTCTCCTGGCAGGAGGCCAGGGTCGCCCTGGCAGGGCACGGCGCTGGAGCTGTCGGTGCCCTCCGTGGAGCTGCAGCCGTCTTCGCCGCCGCTCCCGCCGTCGACCAATGCTCACGCCTCATTTTCCCGAACCCGACCGATCCGCGAGAGTCGCGGGGCTGGAAGCAAGGAAGACGCGCCCGTCGAGACTCTTTCGCGACGACCGTGCCCGATAGGCCATCCATAGAGGAACAAAACGCTGCATAGACATGATGGCGGGCTTGTTTTCCACCACCACCACCAGAAGTAGGATGGGGGAGGGGGTCCTCCTCCGCCTCTTCTTCATCATTCTCCACCTCCTTCCCCCTTCCAACTTATAGTGGTGGTAGTGGACAACAAGCCCATCACATGAACTGTTGGCGGTCCGCGCGGAGTTCTTGGACCCGCGCTGGGCCCCCATCAGCGCACCAGGGGCGGCGCCGAGGCGCCGCCAGAGGGGCCCAAGGCAGACCCAAGAAATCCGCGCGGAGCGTCGAAAGTTCAATGTTCGTGCCGTGTTTCTGTTCTTCGGATCCACTCAGAACCGCTCCCAAGTCGCTGCGCAGTCCCATCGGTTGCCGTGCGAACAGCACACACCCTGTAGGGAGGTTGGAGAGGGCTACGGGTGTGTGGGCTGTCGGATGGGGGTCCCCGCTCGAACGAGACCCTCCCCCGCGGGGTCCGACTACCCACGCCCATACCCGTAGCCAGACCACCTCCCTCGAACCCCCTTCTGGGTATGGGTGGGTGCTGTCCAGGATAGCAAAAGGGGCTTGAGAATCAGCTCACTGTGGCTGATTTCCCCGGCGCCTCCCGGACAATTCATGCTGGGTATGTTTTCCACCATCACCACCACCATCAGTTGGACGGGGAGGGGGCCCTCCTCCTCCTCCTCCTCCTCCTCCTCCACCTCCTTCCCCCCTCCAACTGATGGGGGTGGTAGTGGAAAACAGGCCAATCATTTAATGCTCACGTCGGCGTTGTATGGGCGGCGAGCCCCGGGGGAAGTGAGAAAGGGCAGGCCTTCTCAGGAGGCTCGGAAGCCCCCCAGCCTGAACTCTGAGAAGTGTTCAACGCCTTCCACGAAGGCGCAGAAAACCTCGCAGGAGGCCAGGAGGCCTTCTGAGAAGGCCCGCCGCCGTCTGAGAAGGCCTTTCCTTCTCACTCCCCCCCTCGCTCGCAGCCGATTTTTGTTCTGCGACACGATCTCCAGATGGAGCCCGTCGCGGCCAGCGTTCCCAGCCCTCCAACGGCCCGAGCCTGTTTCGAGTCGGCGGCCCCCGGGCCCGTCGACTGAGCGGGGGCGAGAGTAGGTGGCGACATCCGAACCCTTACCCCATCAACCATCGGCTCTCCTGAATCGATGGGAGGTGGGGGTAGGGTTCGGATTTCGCCCCGTGTTTGACGACATCCGAACCATACCCCCGCCGCCCATCGAGTAATCTACATCGTTGATCTGCGAGGGCAAGGTCCGGATCCCGTCGCTGGGAAGGGGACCGGGCACTCGTGCAGTCGCGGATTTGGCGGACGCATGGGTCTGTCGCAGCAAGCGCTGGGCCACAGCGAGTCGAACTTTCTGCACACGGGAGCCCGCTCAGCGGGGAGAGAAGCGGCCGCGGAGGGAGGGATCCTCCCTCCTCCCTCCTCCCTCCTCCCTCCTCCCTCCTCCCTCTTCCCGCCTCCGCCTCCTCCTCCTCCTCCGTCTCCTCCTCCTCCTCCTCCTCCTCCTCCTCCTCCGCCTCCTCCCCCTCCTCCTCCTCATAGAAGGCTGCGCCGTCGCAACGTGCCGTCCTGGAAATTTGCCATCGCTCGGACGTCCATGACCTTTGCCCTTGGCGGCATCGTGCGCTTCCGGTTCTTCGCCAGGAGATGCAGGATGCACTTGGATGGTCAAGGCCGAAGGAAAAACGCACACGTGCGATCGATGCCAAAGGATGGAGGAAAAAGAGCTATGCACATACACCGACTCTGGCCAGGCCCATCCTGAGCCCAGGATCGGTGCACACGCCCTCCTACCTTGGCCAGGAAGGCATATGCACCGATCCTGGGTCAAGGATGGGCCTTGCAAGGATCGGTGCATGTGCATAGTTCTCTTCGCCCGAAGAGGAAGCGGTGTGTGCTGCAAAGGTCGGTCGGGCACACGCCAGCACGGACGAGAGCCGGGGGTCCGCGGGTCTGGGCAGATGCGCGGATTGGAAACAAAAAAGCCCGAAGCAAGAGGCCAGGGACGCCTCGTGGGCCGACGGCGCGCGTCGATCCTGCACGGAAGCGGGGCCCGCAACAAAATCCACGCGCCGTGATCCGTGGTCGCGCTCCCTCCCGCACGCGCGTCCGTCATCCAACGCCCGCTGCTCCTCACCCTGCGTTCCCTGTCCTTGCGGATACCTCCCTCCTGCCGCACCCCGAGGCCGGTTGGGAAGGCGAGGTTGAAGACCGACGGCACCCTCGCAGATGGAGGGCGGGTCACGCATTGCGGGAGGGTCGTTTTCAAAAGGTGGCTCTGGCCTCAGCGCTGTGGCGCATTCTTTTTCGAACATTTGCAAGAGGTTCACAGATGCGGGTGGTGTTCAACATGTGGTTCTCGCTTTAGCGCCTCGCACCTTCGTCTTGCAAGTCCCACCAGCCCTCTAGGCGTAGGTGGTTTAGGGCGTTTCCTCTTCCACCGCCTTCTTCCCCTTCGGGGAGGGGTTTACCCCCTCCCCCTACACCCTCCCCTGGACCTGGACGGGGCGTTTCGCGGGTCGTCGGAGCGTCAACGGCCTCGGCGAGGAAGCTAAAATCTTTGGTTTTACCAAGGTTTTGGCCCCATGTTGGCCTCTTGGGGGGACAGCGCTCATTGAGGGACCCCCCTTCTTTGAAAGATCAGCTCCGAGACGGCCCCACGAGCGCTCCCAAGGCTCCCAAGGGTGCCCCAAGAGGGCCCCAAGAGGTGGCCAGGAGGCCCCAAGAGGTCCCCAAGAGGCCCCCAGGATGCCCCCAAGAGGCTCCTTAGAGACCCCCAAGAGGCGCCAAGAGGCCTCCAGAGGCACCCAAGACGCTCCAAGAGGCCTCGGCGACAATGCTAAAATCATTGACTTTACTAAGATGTTGGCTACATTTGGGCCTCCTGGGGGGGCGGGGGGGCACTGCTTAAGATGACTCCAAGAGCGCCTGGGAGAGCCCAAGATGACCTCCAACATGGCTCAAGATGGCTCCCAAGATGGCTCAAGATATCTCACGATGCCTCAAGATGGCTACCACGATGCTCCAAGTGGCCCCAAGACCGCTCCAAGACGGCTCCAAGTGGCCAAAGAGCTCCCCCAGGAGGCCCCGAAGAGGCCAACATCCTGCCAAAACCTTCGGGAAATCAATGTTTGTAGATTTTTCGTTTTTCGCTTCCGATGGCCATCCGAGGCTTCAAGATGGCTCCAAGATGGCCCAAGAAGGCTTCAAGAGCGCTCTCACGGCTCCCAAGAACGCTTCAAGAGGGCCCCAAGAGGCGCTCAGGAGGCCCCAACAGGCCTCCAACAGGCGCCCAAGAGGCCTCCAAGAGGCTCCCAAGAGACCCCCAAGAGGGCCCAAGAAGCCCTCCGAGGCACCCAAGACGCTCTAAGAGGCGTCCGGGACAGCCAAGAGGCCCCCAAGACGCTCCAAGAGGCCTCCACTGGGGGGCCCTTCCTCTGTGTGCTGCCCACTTCCCTGATCGAAGCAATTCCTCTGGGCATCGTTTCTGGATGGGCTGGGTGGGTTAGGCGAAGCGTCTAGAATTTGAAAGAGTTTCACGAATTGCGGGCGGCTCCTTTTTCAAAATGCGGCCCTCGCCATAGCGCCGCGCGAATTCCTCTCAAACTGTTGCAGGTGTTTCACGGGCTCTCATTCTTAACGTACCAGAAACAATGTTCTGGAGAAGCTCAGCATTGTCAGGGCGCAAAAATTACGTTGGGTCGCGGTGATGAAGTCCCAAGAAATGCGTTCAAGCACGATTCTGGATCGTCTAGACGCAGCAGTCAGGTCATGAAACTGGCGTTCTGGTGCGCGTCAAGGTTTTTACGCGGTTGTCCCCACCCCCCACGGGAAACTTCCCCCAATGGAAATGAACTTTAGTGGGGGCCTGTGAACATGGATCTCGGAAGGGAAGTGTATTGTAACATCGTCGGTGGTGGGTCTTGGCCTTGCACGGGTTTCTTCCTGCAGAACCCAGAGGAGGCATTGCACGGGGCTGGTCGAATGATAATCGTGATGCATTTGTGTTCAGGCAAGGCGCGGGCTCCGAAAATCATGCCTTGATCCAAACAGTGCCATCGGCAGACAATTGCTGGGCTAACACATGCTACTGCGCTCCCCACCCAAACGAGGAACAATATTCGAATACCCCCCCTCGGACCTTACAATCGATGAGAGCGACGGGTGCCGAATTCATGAAAAAAAATCAGCGTAAAGAGTAACTCACGTAGCGCAGGATTCCGCCGAGACCTCAAGTCAGGGAAAATTTAATGACATCACGAGTGAACAAGCGAGATCGTACTGGCAAAATGCGGCTATGGAATGTGGCGTAAACGCGGGGGGGCCTCCGAACGCGCGATGCACTTATTAACGTGCCGTAAACATGCAAACTGCTTCAATTGGAAATTGTTAACAGAAGTGCCTGCTGACCAGGATTTCGAAGCGAATCCAGCGGTGGCGACGAGGGCCTCCCAGGAGACTGGAACATGGGAAAACGAGGGAAGGCCAGCAGCATGGGTACCTTCTTCTCCTCTCAGGGGGTGGGTTGTGCTGTATCCAGGAGACCCTCGATCCTCCATCCTCCCCCCCACGGGTGGCTCCCAAGGTGTGCGCGCCCCCGGACGCCTCGCGGGGGGCCCTAGCGTGAGGGGGTGACCAGGCTAGGGTTAGAATGGGCATGTCCCCCTACAGGCGGATTTTCGCCGAGAGATCCGAAGTATCCCAAGCATGTTCAAGCAAACCCCAAGCACAATCGAAACATCGTGCGCAGACTATCTTGTACTGTTTTGGAATATCCCCTGTAGGGGGGCATGAAACAAGGCTAGCATCGGGATAAATCGCTCCAGAGCGTTCTGGAGCACTCTCAGAGCGTTCCAGAACGCTCTGGAGCGGCCGCGGCGCCCAATACATCCTCCAAACCCGCCGATTCTCAAAGATTTCGAGTTATCCCGATCCGATTTTGTCCCGATCTTCGCGTCGTTTTAGGACATGCCCGACCTCACGATGGATCGACGATCCGATCCCGAGTCCGCACGTTCCCAGCCTGGGCGGGCTGCCGGGCCCCCAGGAGCGGACGGTGGGGGGCCGATGCTTCCCCCCCCTGGAGTTCAGTCGGACGTGTTCCTCTGCAGAAGGAAGCTCCAACAGATTGGTGGTCCCCAAACGCGGTGGTGAGAACACCCAGTGGTGAGTTTGGGGCGATTTGGGTCCTGGTTTTCGAGCGCTGGCTGGCCCAGGAAACGCAAAACCTCGTGGCGACCGCGTGTCCCCAAACCCGGTGGTGACCCAGAATTATTTGTTTGGGGAATCGGTTCGGGTTCACCACCGGGTGTCTCACCACCTGGTTTGGAGACCACCAAACAGAGTCCAAAAACAGTCGGGGAACGATGTTCTGTATGGTTTTCGATTATTTGGTGGTAGCGTTAAACTATGTCGAACTATTCGCCCCAAATCCGCCGGTGGGGGGACATGGCCGACCTAAGGTTGGGGGTCAAAGCATCCCCCCCTGAGTCTGCTCCCCCTTATCGCTGCCCCTGCTGCCAGAAGGCCACGAGCACTCAACAGCCCCGACCCTCGATCCTGGATCATCGAGCCTCCCCCCTGAGTCCTACGTCCTACGGGCCCCGCGGGGTGCCCAAGAGCAAATCCTGATGCTGCAGAGCTTCGTGGCGGGCCCGGCCGCGGAAACCGGGGCGCCCCAGGGAGGCCCGAACACGTTTACACCGCTAAGATGAAGCCACGCCCAGGACAACATCGCACCGAGACAAATCGGAGTCCTCTGAGATCCGGCGGTTCGGGAGCATGTATGGGGCGCCGTAGAGCGCTCCTGAACGCTCTGGAACGATGTATCCCAGTCCTGGGCCAGCCCAAACATCACGAACACCCCCAATCCCACCCTGAGATCTGACGGTCCGGACTAATTGCCAACATCGCGCGAAATCACGCCTGGAGCTCAAGACCCCACCTTGCTGTTGCATCTCCCGAATCGGATCGGGCCCGAAAATCGGGGAAGACGCCCAGCTTGAGAAAAATGAGAGGCCTGCATCTCGGAGCCTTCCCTCCTCTCGTCCTGGGCTCGGGCCCCGCGCGAGGCGGTCCGGGGCCATTTTCTCTGGTTGCCCGAACACGTCCATCGCGCTCTGGCCTTGGCGGCGAGTGTGCGCAGTCCCGCGGCCGGGGGGGGGGACTGGATGGGGAAGGAGGAGAAGGAGGAGGAGGAGGAGGAGGAGGAGGGAGAGGAGGAGGAGGAGGAGGCAGGACGAGGAGGAGGAGGAGGCAGGAGGAGGCAGGAGGAGGAGAGAAGGAGGAGGAGGAGGAGGAGGAGGAGGAGGAGGATAAGGCAGGAGGAGGAGGAGGAGGACGAGGAGGAGGAGGAGGAGGAGGAGGAGGAGACAAGAAGGAGGATGAGGACGAGGAGGAGGAGAGGAGGAGGAGGAGGAGAGGAGGAGGCAGGAGGAGGAGGAGGAGGAGGAGGAGAAATAAGGAGGAGGAGGAGGAGGAGGAGGAGGAGGAGGAGGAGGAGGAGGAGGAGGAGGAGGAGGAGGAGGAGGGGGGAAGCAGAGGGCGCCCCAAGAGGGCCCCAAGAGCAACCGCGGACATATTCGAGCTTCGCACTGCGCGAGGCGCGCAGTACCTGGCGCTCTCGCGCCAAACCCCCGAGGATCGGATCGGATCACCCGTCCACGAAGGAAGCGTCAAGCCCAGGGCTAGACATAAACGCTGTTGTTCGTTTTGTTGTCGTTATAATTTTCGTTTTGCTCTACCCGTTTTCCTGTACCTCCTTGCCAACACGCACAACAAAACACAGTCGAAGACCAGTAAAACAGCGTTTAGGTCCAGACCTGGGTCAAGCCCGTGCTGGCTGGCGAGCGCTCCGCCCATGTGGACCGAACTGTCGAAGGCTCCCCGAGGGAGGAGAGGGTGACGAGCAGGATTACAGTCGGGGCGTTGACATCAAAATCGAGAACAAAGAAACGAGGCCGCTTTCCTTTCCGTTAGATGAATAAGCTTCGATATCCCATGGAACACTCCAGGAAGACCTGGGGCAACCTGCAAACAAAAAAACAGGGAACACCGAGCCCCTCCCCAACGAAAAGGGCTTCTTCTTCGGCGCCCCGACTGTAGGAGGAGGAGGAGGTGTGCATCGGCCCTCGTGGCGGCCCTGGGGGGGATAGGCAGAGGGGGGGATGCATCGACCTGGAATCGGCAATACATCGCCGATAGACGGGCGATGGGCTCCCGATCGTGAATCCGAACCCTCCCGGGTGGGGTGGGGCAATCGGGTCCCTATCGGCGAGCAATGGGCGATTGGGGATCGATGCATCCTCCCTTTGGCCGTCCCCCGCCCTATCGTCAGGTAGGGCATGTCCTCCACAGGCGATTTCGGACGAAACATGCAAATTACACAGAAAATGACCAACACTAGCCAAAATTAATCAAAAAATAGTCCCCGTATTATTTTTGGACTATTCTTGAATACTTCTCCTGTAGAGGGACAGGCCCGATTAAACCTTATCGTTGCCCTGAAGGGGGAGGGGAACGCACTGCTTTTGAGGTCTTGGCGTCCAACTTTTTGTTCGAGCTGGGCGCTCTCTCGCCAGGCTTCGGGCCTCAGGATCCTCGCAGATGGATCTGGCTCGACAGACTGGCGCAGACCGATGGTGTCCAGCAGGGCTGGACCTAAACGATGTTGTTCGTCTTGGTTTCGTATTGTTCTTCGGTTTGCTCTACCTGCTTTCCTGTACCTCCCTGCCAAAACCAAAAACCAAACACAGCCGAAGTCCAGCAAAACAGCGTTTAGGTCCAGCCCTGGTGTCCGGGGCTCTGGTCCAGATAATTCCCTATGTTGGAATGCCTCGCCACGTCGCATCTCTGGGTTTGAAGGGGCCCACAAACACACAAGTAAATACTCACACAAATAACAGGATCCCCCATAGTTTCGCATATTTTCTGGGTTTCTGTCGTCCCCCGCACTTCCCATATTTTACCATGTTCTCTTGGGAATCGACGATTGATTGTGTCTGTGTGGTTTTTCCCCTCCTGATGGTTGGCAGCCCAGGGAAGGCCTGTCGACCTGGAACCGGCGGGGCATCGCCGACGGGCTGCGAGGTGCCTCTGATCGCAGATCTGGACGGGCCCGGGCACCGGCTGGACTTCCGAGCGCTCCCCGCGGATGGGGCCCAGGGAACGACAACCAAATCTCACTCCCGAAGTCTCTGCCCAGATTTCGTCCGCCTCTGGGGGCCCGCTTCGGGCCACGGGGCCGTCGAACATCTATCCGAGGGGAGAACCGGGCACGGTGGACCTCAGGAGGGGTCTGACGACCAATTCGGATCGGATTGCGGTCGTGAGGGAAGGAGGAACAAAGTGTAACACAGGACGCATCAACGATACTGCCCTTCTGCAACCTCCTCCTGCACCCTCGGGCATGCCCAGCGTGCTGACGAGAACAATAAACATTACAACAAAGATTTCAAATGACGAAACGCGCTCTGGCCGGTGGCGGAATCCGCGTTGACTGGGGAATCAGGGATCAGATCGCATCGAAAATGGTGAAAGATCTGAAGCTCCGTATCAGGTAGCTGACAATAACGGGGAACAGACTGTCTCATCCCTGCGGGGACAGCGAGCGACCACAACCAGATCGAGGACACAACCAGGGGAATGTCTTGCGCATGCCAAAATGTGGCGTAACTCCAAATCCAGCTTCGTACCGTTTGTTGTAAGCGATGTGGCGTCCCAGGGAGGCCACATCGACCACAACCGTAAACCACAACCAACGTGCTCATGTCGAGGTCGGTGGGTTCTCCCCCGAAGAACTCCCGAGGAATCCACATAATTATGGTTGTGGCTCTTTGTTGTGCCCGGAATCCCGCACATCGCAACACGCGTGGACATGCGTGCAAGGAAGCGGCGTGCAGTGCCCGCGAGCGACGGCGTGCCACTAGAGGAACGAACAATGACATGAACATAAAAACTCGGAGGACCGCGCGGATTTCTCGGATCGGCGCTGGGGCCGCCTGGCGGCGCCTCCAGCGCCGTCCCCGGCGCGCTCCGCGTGCCAGGGAGGAGGGTCCAGCGCGGATCCGAGAAATCCGCGCGGACCTCCGAGTTGTTATGCTTATGCCATGTTTCGGTTCCCTAGCCACTGGTTAAGCTCCTCGGCCCGAGGATCATAGAAAGGCTGAGGAGGAGGAGGAGGAGGAGGAGGAGGGAGGAGGAAGAGGAGGGGAAGGAGGAGGAGGAGGAGGGCGTGCGCGTGCCACAGGTCAAGCTCCTCGGCCCGAGTATCATAAAGGCCCCGGGGGCCAAAAGAACACCTGCGGCTCGCGGCGATGTAAAGCGCTATCTGGGGGCTTGCCGCCGCTCGTATACGTCCATTCTCCGTGCATGTTTCGGTGTCGTGCGTCGGCTCGGCGCGTGCATGTTCGGTTTCGTTTGATGATCCAAGATGCTCCTCGAAGGTCCTCGCCGAGAAGAAACATCGGGGAGACCTAAGACCCGACGGGGCCATCATAAAAATGACGAGGCCCAACCCGAAACTTGACGCGAACTCCTGCTGTAAACATCCGACGGAAACTGGACCGTCAGAATCTAGGACGCGCGCGTAAAAAAACGTCGGTAAACCCGAATTCTGGCTTCCTCGAGTCGTACGCTTCCCCCAAAAAAGCTCACGTCCGAGCGATGCCAAGGGGTGGGGAAGGGGGGGCATAGCGTGACCCCCCCTCCCCCCGCGTGGGTCGGGCACGTACTTCGGCAGTGCCGGGAGCGCACTGGAGGGGCGTTGGACGAGGGGGGGCGAGAGGGAGGGGGGGGCATAACGCGCGGGATGGACCAGCGGGTGAAAACAATCTCCAGGCACGGGCCCCAGACTCAGAGTCTGCATCTTTGCTGCACACCTCGGGCGTTGCTCAGCGGGGGGGGGGGTGCGAACCATAGAGGGGGGAGACGCGTGCCTTTCGTTCCGCTTCTGGGCCCCAGGGGGCCCCTTCAGGGCACCAGGGGGTGGCCTTCTGACCCCCCCCCCCTGGGCGAGGCAGTTTCAAGGCAGACGTCTGATCCACCTTGGCGGCGCGCCTGCTTCGGCGAGCAGCTTGCTGAGAGATCAGGAGCTGCTTCGGCGACGCTGCCCACATCGCAATGACTGGACCTCCTGGACTGTCAGATGATTGTTCGGCTGCTTCAGCCAGGCTCCCGGCTGGCGACCTGACCTGACATGCGCGACTGTCTGACCCCTGGATTATATTGCGCCCATCGTACTTGAGGACCCCATCCCAGAAATAATTTCGAGCACCCAGAAAAATATCGAACACTGTCAAACGAGTATCGCCTCTCAGGGCCCGGCACCTGAAAACCCGTCAGTCTCGGTACTTCCTCGGTGCTCGAAATTCTTTCTGGCGATCGAGGCTAATGCAGACTGGAACATCATAACCCCTGGTGCTCACAACCCGTCAAAATTCCTTCGAGACGCCACAGGTCTTGAAATTTTCAGCGGCTTGACTGGAACATCACCAACTATAACGGATCACATGCACCTGCGCCGAGGGGAGCCGGCACCGCGGTACGCCGCGCCACGCCTCTGGGAGGGTCCAATTACTCACTGCGTGGAGCTCCCCATATGTGCATCCTTTTTTAAAGGTAATATTGTATATGGGTCTACTGGAACACACGTAAAACACCAAGGACTCGTGCCCCAGGAGAGGCCCAATATATAGGAACAAAAGTAAAACAAGTAGGATTGCTTACACAGGAGAAGGACAATATATAGAAACATACGTATAACATCAAGGAATCGTATTCCAGGTGAGGCCCAATCGATAGGAGCATACGTAAAACACATGGGATTGGAGCCACTCCTGTTGCCTTCTGAGGCCTCCTGCTCCTGGGGCCTCTCGGGGCCTCCTGTTGCCTTCCGAGGCCTCCTGGCGCCTCCTGTGGCCTCCTGGGGCCTCCTGTGGCTTCCTGAGGCCTTCTAGAGCTTCCTGGGGCCTCCTGGGCCCTCTTGGGACGTCCTGTGGCCTCTTGAGTCTTTCTGTGGCCTCCTGATGCCTCCTGGGACCTCATGTGGTCTCCTGGGGCCTCCTGGAGCCTGTTGGAGCCTCCTGTGGCATCCTGAGAAGAATCTGCGCCCACGAGCCTGGCCAC